CGTGATAGCTGTTACTCAGATCAATTTAGGACAGTTGGTACGATTCACGACAACTGTTAAAACAACTTAAAGTGTTCACGACAGTGCACGACAGAGCTCCAAATAAAACAAAACGAAATTTAAGAGGTAGCACCAATGTCCAGGTTTAAAATCTTGGTTGGTAAGGTTGTAAGACGTCGGCAAAGATTTGTTTCATCGGCGTAGCAATGTTCCGCCCCAATGTTTACATGAGCAAACGAGCAAGAAAAACAAAAGAAACAGTTGAAGCTCGTTGCGCGACCAACAGCCTAAATAGGGTTTGGAACATTGCCTAACAAAAAGATCACCTTACTGGACAAATCTAACACTGGAAAGACTGACATGCTACTGGAATTCTCAGTGAGGGAAGACCGGACTCGAGAAAGCGAAGAAGATCGAGCATAACTATTTCACTGTCTCATACGTTCAAAACTAGGAAAGAATGAAGGGTAATAGACTGAATCCCCTTATAGGCCATGAGGCGGTAGTCTCCTCGATCCGCAGCCGTTGTCGTCACGCAACGCTTCTCCCCCACTCTCCCCCACTGAACTTAGTGGGGGAGAAGCGTTGCGTGACGACCCTAATAACGGCTGCGGAGGAGACTAATGAGCGGGGGGGAGGGGGGGAGGTAGTGCTTTCAAGTTATTTTTAGACCTGGTATCCACTCCTCCCTTGGATATGTTACCTCGCCTGTTGCGCACGCGCCGATATTTTCCTTGAGGGCGAAGATGAGTGTAAACCGGCTAGGCCTGTCCTGCCATTTCTTTACTTCTCTCCTCCTGATAGATTGGCCTAGAGAGGTATTAACTCTCTTACCCTCATCCTCTTTTGATGACGTTGATGACTGATGAGTTACCTAGATAGCCTGTAGTTTTTTTTCTTTGACATGATTTCTTTCTTTTCGCAAAATCTCGGCTCCCTCGTCCAATCTTAGGTCAGAATCTGCTTGTGAATGCTATAAAAGAATCCGCACTTTCGACTACGTAGAAAACGGGACGGGGCTAGCGATTCCAGTCGAGAGCGCTTACTACTAG